CTGATTGGGAAAAAAACCCTTTTGTGTTTAGCAAATTCACAAACTTCACAATGAAAGGTTTCAACATCAATCCCTTTAAACAAGGAAGGAAACATTGTTTTTAAAACAGAAAATGAAGGATGACCGAAATGAAAGTGATGACGCCAAAGTAAATCTTTATTGGAGGTAGATAAGAATGACTCGTGTGTAACATACATAACAGTGTGAGATGGTTTGCTGGTTGCTTCAAGGTAGTAGAGTCCATCYCTTTCCTTAGCAAGTCCAATCTTCTTCCCCGAAACCTGGTCCTGAAATACATAGTAAGAAGGAAAGAACACAACATTGCAGTTCACATCCTGGGTGAGTTTATGTATAGAGATAAGGCTAGTGGATAACTTAGGAACATGAAGCACATTTTTAAGTAATAGGGATGGAGTAATCTGAATATTCCCAATTCCTGCCACTGTGGTGAAAGAACCATCAACAACAGAAATTTTCCTACTACTAGGACAGGGTGTATAGGTGAGAAAATGTAGTGAAGAGGGTGTCATGTGGTCAGTAGCTCCAGAATCAAGAATTCATGGAAAAACACTATCCGAGACATGTAATCCTAGAGATAAAGACTCACCCGAGAGAGCAAGAGAGGTGGAACCACTTCCTGGTTTCAAGGATCCCAGGAAACCCCTTAGCATTTCAATTTCTTCATCATTAAATGGTCCTTGACTTGAGTGTTCTTGCTGCGGGATTGTGAAGACATTATGGGCCTGTTGAACTACTTTCGAAACTCCTCGATTGCCCCATTCCTTGCTGAACATGGGAGGTTTCCCATGAAGTTTCCAGCAGCAATCTTTTGTGTGTTTGGGCTTCTTGCAATAGGTGCACCAGAGGTTATCGTTAGAGTCACGGGTGGTTGTGTCACGAGNTACTGCACCTTTGTTGGAGGGAACCTTGTTACTTGGAGAAGTAAGAAGCAAACCGTGGTAGCTAGATCCAGTGCTGAAGCTGAGTACCGTGCAATGGCACACGGAGTAGACGAAGGTATGTGGATAAAGAATCTATTRGGAGAGTTGGGTTTTCCAGTTGATAAACCCATGACTCTTCTCTGTGACAACAAGGCAGCTATAAGTATCGCTGCCAACCCGGTACTACATGATAGAAAAAAACACATTGAAGTTGACAAGCACTTTATCAGAGAGAAAATCATCACAGGCGAAGTATACACTCCATACATCAGCTCTGAAGACCAACTAGCAGACATCTTTACAAAAGGGCTAAACCATTTCAGACACCAAGGTCTTTGTGACAAGTTGGGCATGATTGATATCTATGCTCCAACTTGAGGGGGAGTGTTGACAGGTGTATTATATGTACTGTATGCAGGTTTAGTGCCCGCAAGGGTATTTTTGTAATTTAGTAGTCCTTTTGTGTTGTACGGCCAGTATAGTATAAATACAAATGCTTCACTCGCATGAAGCAGTTCTTTTGAGGCCTTAAGTCTGCAGCCTCTTCTCTCTTCTTCTTCTTCTTCTTCTTCTTCTTTTGCTCAACAGAACTAAACCACAAGATAAGTACAGAAAGTGGAGAGCCTCTTGAAGAGAGTTATGTATCAGCGGTTGGTTGACAAACTTCTTTATCTTTGCCTAACATGACCGGACATTTCTTATGCTGTCAGTGTTGTTAGCCAGTACATGCATTCTCCCAAAACCACAAACCTTCTTGTAGCCGAAAGGATACTTGCCTATCTGAAGAGATGCCCCGGGAGAGGTATACTCTTCAAGAATAATGGTCACATGAAAATATAAGCATACACAGATGCTGATTGGGCCGGTTGTGTTGATGACAAGAGATCCACCTCCGGGTATTGTGCTTTTGTAGGGGGGAATCTTGTTTCCTGGAGGAGTAAGAAGCAAAATGGTGTTGCTCGCTCCAGTGCTGAAGTTGAATACAGATCTATGACTAATGGAGTAGTTGAAATGTTATGGTTGTGATCTTTACTTGATGAGCTGGGTGTTGAATATGAGAAGCCTCTGATGTTGTATTGCGATAATTAGGCTGCAATTAACATTGCTCATAATCTGATACAGCATGACAGAACTAAGCACATTGAAGTGGACCAACTTTATCCGAGAGAGGGTTGCATCTCAAGATGTGTGTCTTCCATATATTGCCTCAGATATGTAGCTAATTGATCTCTTCACTAAGGCGATTACAAAGACCAAGTTGGAGACAGATCTACGCAAGTTGGGAATGACTAATATCTACTCCCAACTTGAGGGGGAGTGTAGAGATAGTTGTTAGTTGTTAGTGTGTGTGTGGTCCCACTAATATTTTTTATATATTTATTGCATGGTAGTTATGGTAGTTAGGCTAGATATATTTCTTTATATTTATTTCTGTTTCAGCAAGGGTATTTATGTAACTCCACTACTGTTAAGATGCAATATATAAATAGTAATCTAGTGGGGCGGCAGAATCAATTGAACCGCACCCTTTCTTTCTCTCTTTCTTCTTCTCTTCTTCTCTTCTCTCTTTTTCTTCTATTCGTGACCTTCCTTTCTTTTATTTTTCTACTAAATCTATACCAGAAAATGTTTTGAAATGGTAAAAACTAATCTTATCATTCCATTGCCAACCGGCATATTTATACARTAAGCTGCTGCAATAAATAGAAAACATCTTCCTAAATCAATCCCTATAATTAAGGGACTAACTATTTTAATCCCCATATTTAAGGGATTATACTCTTCCACAATCCTAGGAATACATATTCACACATTCCTATTTTTACACAACTACCAAATATAGGTGCATCTACACCAGTAACCCCACGTTTTCCAACAAAAAACAATCAATTTCTGGTCTAATTTATCCAAGTGAGCTGTCTAGGTGAATTGGTGAAACTCCTACTGAACCTATTACTACTCAAGATGTTGAGGAAGGGACTGATGCTGCTAATAGACAACAGAAAGATGTTAGAATTGTCTACAGGAAAAGGAAGTGAGATCCCTCCAACTTGTGGCAGCAACCAACTAGACTCAAAATCGATCTGTCTTAGTGGATCTAGGTAACCCTACAACTGATGCTATCACTCCTACTTCTGACTTGGATCTTTCTATTGCTCTTCGTAAGCCTATCCGTTTTTGTACTACTCGACATCCCATTGCTAAATAGATCTCTTATTCCTATTTATCTCCTCGTTATTACTCTTTTGTGTCTGATCTTATTCTTGTCCATGTCCCTACCAGGTACTCAGAGGTTGTGTCTGATCCAAGATGGAGAGAAGCAATGAACAAGGAAATGAGAGCCTTGATGAAAGCCAAGACTTGGGAATTAGTGGATCTACCAAAAGGAAGAGTACCGTGGGGTGCAAGTGGGTGTTCATTGTGAAGCACAAGGAGGATGATTTCATTGAAAGATACAAGGCTAGGCTGGTGGCAAAAGGGCTTACTCAGAAGGAGGGGATTGACTATAAGGAAACTTTTGCTCTAGTTTCAAAGCTTAATACAATTCGGGTTCTATTGTCATTAGTTGCAATTTTTTGTTGGGAGCTACATCAGCTGGATGTGAAGAATGCCTTCCTGAATGGGGATTTACATGAGGAGGTATTTATGAATCATCCACTTGGCTACGACTTTCATTGGAAGGTATGCAGGCTAAGAAAAGCATTATATGAGCTTAAGCAATCTCTCTGAGCTTTGTTTGAGAAGCTTTGTGGGGCCATGAAAAAAGTGAGATACACTCAAAGTGTTGCAGATCATACCTTGTTCAAAAGGAAACAGGGTAATATGCTTACGACTCTCATAGTCTATGTGGATGATATGGTAATTGGTGGGAAAATTGATATACCTGTCTCCTACCCGACCTGATATAGCTTATCCAGTACATGTTGTTAGCTAGTTCATGCATTCTCCCAACATACCTCACATGAAATCAGTTGAAATGATCCTTAGGTATTTAAAGACTTGTCCAGGGAATGGAATCCTGTTTAGGAGGCACAATAAACTTGAAATAGAGGCATACACTGACGCTGATTGGGCTGGATCAATTGGAGATAGGAAGTCTACTTCTGTATATTGTACATTTGTTGGGGGGAACTTGGTTACTTGGAGAAGTAAAAAGCAAAATGTGGTTGTGAAATCAAGAGCAAAAGCTGATATAGGGATATGCTACATTGTGTTGCAGAACTATTGTGGCTTAGGACTTCTCCTAGGTGAGCTAGGAACGAAAGTTGATGGTCCCCACAAGCTGTACTGTGACAATAAGGCTGCAATCAACATTGCAACTAATCCAGTACAGCATGATAGGACTAAGCATATTGAGATTGACCGACACTTTGTGGGAGAGAAAATTGTCTCAGGTGAACTTTGCATTCCTTACACACCCTTAGAGATGCAGATTTCTAATGTTTTGACAAAAGGTCTGTCTTCAGTAAAGTTCCTTAACTTACTTGGTAAGCTAAACATGACTGACATCCATGCTTAGCTTGAGGGGGAGTGTTGGTGGGCCTATTTAGCATACTATGTTTTAATTTTATATTCTGTTATGAGCCTTTAGTTATTCGGCCTGAACTGGTTTTATTTCTTTGTACTGTCTAGGTGTCCCATCATTAATCAGGGGCATTCTAGCATTTTTATTGTAACATATATATATATATATATATATATATATATATATATATCAGTTCTAGGGCTGAGCCGGCTGAGAAGTCATTGCCACCCATACACTGTTCTCTTCTCTTCTCTCTCTTCTCTTCTTGCTCTTCTACTTCACCATTTCAGCAAACAAGATTCAGATTAAGATAGAGCAACCCTTGATTCTATATTGTAATAACCAAGCTATCAACATTGCACATAAGCTGGTCCAGCATGAAAGGACTAAGAATTTTGAGATTGACAAACAATTACCAACAAAACCACACATAGCACACATATACTTGTCTTTTTCCAAGCTTACTTGAACAGCTTATATAGTTGTGTACTAATAGAAGTATAGAAGTAAAATTAATTTGTATTTATAGGGTGTCATCTTACCAAGGACCAAATAAATGTTGCCATTTCGAATGCATTCTGCATGGAACAGAAACTAGAAAAATCAAATTCATGGAAAATGGTGAACTTAAAGAATTAATCAGATATTTAATAGATGAGCACAAAGACAACAATTAGAAGAAAATCACCTGAAAGGAGATAAACTGTATCAACTTCAACAGAATTTCTGGCTTCCCAAACCAAAAAAGACCATCACGTGGTTTTACTTGAGTCCCCACAGAAGGGCCCTTTGATTCCACAATTTCAAGAGCCAACAGTGATACAATATGTTGAAGTTTTGTACCAACCAACATGACTAGCTTTGACATATATTTTGAATAATAAGACATAGGAGAAAATAATAACCAAAACCATGGATGAACAAAACATGCAAAAATTCCATACAGAAAAGAATATAGAAACTTACTACAACAGGAACAAAAGAGAGCCAGAAGTAGATATTCAATCCTGTAAAATATGGAGGATTTGCATATTTAAAGGATCAAAATATAAAAAAAAATGGAAAAGTATTTCACATCATTCTCTTATAAAATTTAATAAAATCTTACCATGGATATTTATGAAGATGCACAATATGGCATAACTCCAAAGTATCCAGCTGCAAAATCAATAAAAAGAACTTCTAATTCAACTCATTTCAGGTACAATTTTAATCAAATTTTTATGAAAATTCAAGTCATTCAGAATCTACCCCCCCCCACACACACACACAAAGCAGTTAACCAAACAAGAGGATCTATGGGGTCCACACCATTGTAAAATGAGATGTCGAACCATCAGCTATTCAAGAACGACGGAGGAAGGTTTGGATCATTGCGGAAGGCAAAGCGGCACTGTGGAACGGCTACTCCAAGGTTGAAGATGATGAGCTGGCTAGGGGGTTTACAGTTGAAAGAAAGAGAATGGGAGGAAAAAGAAGCGGAAAGGAAGCGTCTGTCTCGGAAGACGAACAGCCTTTTACCTTGGGTCAAGAAAAGAGCTCATCGGAAATGGAAAGCAAGTTAGATGTTTTCTAAAGAGGCAAACAACGGGGTGCTTCTTCCTACGGACAACGAGGTTTCTTCGAGAGACAAAGTTAAAAAAGGAAAAAATGCCAAACAGGTGTCTTTTTTTGGTTAAAAAAAATGGGCCAGATGGGCTCGGTAGCTTGAAGAGCCAGCTAGGGCTGGATGGGCAAGACAGCTCAAAAGGAGTTGGGCCCAAGTCGGCCTGTTTTCCCAATGGGCCTCTCGGTCACATGTTGCTAAAGAATAAGGAGATTATGGAAAGCAACTTATCTCTATCTTCGTCCCTACTAAGTTTTAAACAAGATCCTTTCATGAATCGTCTAAGACAACGAAGAAGCTTGGCTGGAGATGGTTCAGGTAAAAGAAGTTGGGGAAGGGCTAGTAGTAAGTTCAAACGATTGAAGGCAAAGAAATCAGAAGGCTTTAAAAGTCAAGTTTCAAAACTTCCCTGGAGTGTTGGAAAGAGGAAGAAAGAGGTTTGGGAGTGGGTGACCACAAGGTTTATCAGTTCTGATGAGACGAGTTCGCCAAAATGCACGAGAAGCTCGAAGTGTGAAGTGCCTCTTTTGGATCAACCAAAGAGTTTTGTAAAGTTTGGTTTTGAAATAAGGGAGAATCACAGTGACTCAATGACATTAAGACCTCAGATCTAGTAGAGTTTGAAGGGGATGGTCCAAATGTTCTAGAGTGTCAAAAAGCAATGCAAGCCCAAGAACGTTTGACAGTAGGGAGTTAGACCAGATGTTCGGGAGAGAAACAATTGTAGCAGAATTGGATCAGATGTATGAGGAAAGCGGGAGAAAATCGGTGGCAGTGGGTAAATTAGGGGTGGACCAGGGTAGGAGAAGGAATGGATGAACCTCAGAGAATCTTGTTAATGACACGCTTAAGATAGGGGAGTTCAGAAAATCCAAAGGCTCCGGAAACAGGCAGCTGGTTCATGTGACCAAAGTTCTTCACAGGCTCAAGGGCTTGTAGAGGACGGCCCTGTAGAGACTAGAGACTGTGAAATCTAGCCGCAGGGCTATTTTTGTACTTTTACTCTTCTTTGTTGTATAACTATTATTTGTACTCTCTCTTTCTGTATATTAAGGGCAGATCTGTCCTTTTACCTTTTAATATAAATATATCTTTTAAGATGTTGACTGACACAAGGTGTCACACACACCATTCGGCTGTGTTCTCTTCTCTCTCTCTCTCTTTCTGACTTTCGATCCAACTCTGACATGGTATCAGAGCAGGTCACGACCTGAACTTTTCACATAACATCCTGGCTACTACTGGTTCAAGAACTCCCTAACAGTATTTGGAAGTTCTTGAGTGTCTTTTTAATCATCTTCCTAGATCGGCTACAGATCTGAACTTTACAGATCTGTTTCCTGGACTGCTGCACCCTCGGATTCACCTTTCTTCTCAGATCTCCCTATAGAGACATCGGATCAGCCTGAAATTTTAGATCTGGTGTCGCCCAGAGCAGATCTACTGAATCCCTTTGGCTTGGTTTGGATTGGTTTTGTCTTTGAGGGGTTTTGATCCACTCTTCAGTTCGGCAGAACTTTACAGTTGCCTTTTTTAGACATCAGTAGAAAGGTAATCTCCTTTTCTTTCTCTGGTTCGAATTTTTTTGGTTTCTGGAAGTGTGTGTTGTTGCCTTTTGTCTTCCAATGGCATCAGAAAGGATGGAGGTTCTTCCTATTAAGTTCAGTGGTACGAACTACGCATTATGGAAGTTCAACTTTCAGTTCCATGTCGAAGCTAAGGGTCTTTGGGGATATCTAGATGGATCTGTATCTAAACTTGATGACTCTAACATTAAGGGACTTAATCAATGGAAGATCGACAACGCAAAAATTGCGTTATGGATTCTAGGCTCAATGGAAACTGATATTGCTATCCCTATGAAAGGGTACAGGACAGCCTATGAGATGTATCAATATCTCGAGAAAGTTTATTAGCAATCGAATACCTCTAGACAGTATCAAATAGAGGTTGGCATTTTCTCATACTATCAGGGAGATAGAAAGGTCCAGGAATATTATGCCGGATTCATCAACCTTTGGGCAGAATATGAGTTAGTTCACATGGGAGAGGATCCTTCAGACTATTGTGATAAATACATGAATGAACACTTTGACAGGAGAAAAATTATGCATTTCCTAATGCATCTAAGGCCAAAGTTTGAAGTTGTCCAATCTAATATCCTAAGCCGAGGAACACTTCTTGACTTAGATATCCTTGGGGAGATTTTGAGAGCGGAAACCAGATTGACTACACATACTGCACTGAATGGATGGAAGGATTCCAACATTGATGTTGTCTTCCCGAAAACTAAACCAAAAGGGAATAAGGATTTTTCTAAGATACAGTGTTATGAATGTAAGGAGTATAGGCACGTTGTCTCCCATTTTAAGAAGAAAAACACATGCACCTATTGCAAGCACGTCGACCACATTATCACTGAATGTCCTACCCGGCCTCAGAAAGGTAGTGGGCCGAATCAGAAGAAAGGGAACTATAAGGCCTATCCTATCAGACTGTTGTAGATGGTTCAGATGCCTCCTCCTCTATCACTTCTGTAGCTAGTAATTACGACACTCCAGTTGGGATATAAGTACTTTGTAACCTTTATTGATGACTACACCCGTTTCACTTGGGCTTATTTTCTTCAAAAGAAATCTGAAGTGCACACTGTATTTAAACACTTCCACACCTATGTTAGTACCCAATTTGATGCTCGAATCTGCGTGCTACGATCAGATTTAGGGGGAGAGTATATTGATGAGGATTTCCAAAATTACTTAAAACAACATGGAATTCAACCCCAAAAATCCTGTCTAGGCACCCCACAACAAAACGGGGTAGCAGAAAGGAAGAATGGGCATATCTTGAGTGTAGTCAGAACTCTTCTGCATGATTCTCATGTACCCTTTTGGTTTTGGGTGGAGGCGGCCAGCATTGTTGTGTATCTCATAAGTCGTCTTCAATCATCTGTTTTGAACAACTCTTCTCCTTTTCAATTTCTTTTTCCCAAACCCCCATACCTGTCCATGCTCGGGGTCTTTGGTTGTGCTTGTTTTTGTCCACCTCCCACCTCATGAACACACAAAGTTAACTATTTAAGCAACTTTGTGTGCCTTTATGGGGTATAGTTCTAAACATAAAGGGTTCCTTTTCTATGATCCTTCAGTTCGTCGTCTTAGAATCTCTCGTAATGTAGTTTTTCTTGAAAGTGTGTCCTTTTCTGAACATATTGTAAAATTCCCAAGTCCTTCTATTTCCTTGTTGCACATTTTTGATTCTACAGGTGCCTCAGATATTCCATTGTCTCCTTTGCAACAACTCCAGACCTACTTCAGGAAGCAACGGCCTTCTTCAGTCTCCATCCCCCCTCTACTCTTCCTCTAGTTGCTGATCCTGTCACACCAGCTACCTTAGTAAGTGTATCGGAACCTCCTCTTGAACCCACTGCTCCCACTTTACGTTGTTCCTCTAAAAATTCTTGCCCACCTAACCGTTATGGTTTTTTCACCAGACCATAGCTCCTTTGTCATTGTATTCTCTACCACGAACATTCCCATATCTTACTAGCAAGCTATAACAGACCCACACTGGAAAGATGCCATGGACTCTGAGAGTCGAGCCCTTCTTGAGAATGACACCTGGGACCTGTTCAAAGCTCCACCTAAGACATCTCTTATAGGAAGTAGATAGGTCTGCTCTGTGAAACTAAAATATGATGGAAGTCTAGACAGATACAAAGCTAGGCTGGTTGCACAAGGCTACAAATAGGAGTATGGGATAAATTATGAGGAGACCTTTGCTCCTTTAGCTAAAATGACCACTGTACGACTTTTGATGGTTGTATCTGCATCCAAACAGTGGACAATTCATCAGATGGATGTCAAGAATGCTTTTCTACATGGGGAGTTGAAAGAGACAGTCTATATGAAGCCCCCTCCAGGATATTGTACAGACCCACAACTTGTTTGTCGCATGAAGAAGTCACTTTATGGGCTGAAGCAAGCACCTAGGGCCCGGTTTAAGAAGTTCAGATCCATCACCATTGATGCTGGCTTTATCCAGAGTACTTTCAATTATTCCTTATTCATCTTAAGGCGGAAGCAGAGAGTAACGATATTACTCCTCTATGTTGATGATATACTCATTACAGGGGATGACACAGAAGGGATAGCTAGGCTACAACAGTTACTCAATGAGTCCTTTAAGATGAAGGACCTAGGGCCTTTGACATACTTCTTGGGACTCGAAGTGAGCAGAAACTCTCAGGGCTATTTTGTTAATCAACAAAAGTATGCAGCTGATCTTGTTAAACTGGCAAATCTTAGTGACTCTAAGATTGTGGACACCCCACTAGAATTGAACCTGAAACTCAGCAAAGATGATGGTTCTCCTCTGGAAGATCCCACCCTTTATCGTCAGCTAGTGGGCAGTTTAATCTACCTCACCATGACTCGGCCAAATATATCTTATGCAATTCAAATAGTAAGCCAGTTCGTGTCTTCCCCAAGACAACCACATTTATTTGCGGTTCATCGAATCATTAGATATGTGCGAGGCACCTTGTCACACG